CTCAGGTAGGGATGGGACGATCCTAGTGACTCTCCGCCCCCCGGGCGAGTACTTCCTCGCCTCCATGTGGCCCGGGCCTAAAAAAGTTGGTCGGGTTGGAAAACCGGGGGAAACAGTCTCCCCGGGTAACGCCCACCGCAGTCCTATCGCAGGGCTGTGAGATAGCTACCGGCGCTAGAGCCACAGCTGGGCCTTGGGGGGGAAATCGCACTTCCCCTCTCCCGGGAGAACCGAGCACAATCTAATCTAATCTAATCTAGTCTTAAACCAGGTTCTAGCGACAGCACTTGCATCGCGATACTTGTTCATACTGTAGTTTAACGTGGTTCATCGTAGACTTAATAACTGCTTGGTATATAGAATATTAGGTGCGTAAACGAAATAATCGATGGAACTTTTTCCATTCCGTCTATCTCTTTCGTTTGAGTATTAGCGACTACGTTGCGTTTAGTTTAAGTTATTTTGTATTAATAGCATTAATTCGTATTAATTAGAATATTAAGATAATATTAGTTCTAAGCTGAAGAACGAAGACAACCGACGAGGGAACTTAGTTTTTTATAGGTTTAGGCTCAAGAAAGAAGTCATCCGCCGAGGGATTTTAGTACCGATAGTATTACATAGTTAAGATTTAAGTTATTTATAAGGTTTATTGTGAAAGGTGGGAAGATGTAGAACTTGTGATTCCATCCACCTGTCTTGGGCCTCCACTCGCAGCAACCTCCTCATGGTGAGGCCTGGGCAATCGGTATTATCATCGGTAAAGTACTTTAAACTGATGACAATATCGAGCTAATGGCTGCGAACTTCGAATCTATCTCATAAAACCACGTTCTATATTACATCGAACTAGGATTATTTTAGAAATCGATATGAGATTCAAAGTGTAAAAATGTCTAGTACTTTGAATGTTTTAGAAAATTATTCGAGATAAAGATGTATGGAACTACTGAAAATTACTTTAGATTCCTTTTCCTTATTCTGTAAATTCTTTGATTGGAATATGAATGCTGCTGGAAGTATGAACATTTTCACAGGACAATGATATAAATGGAACTTTAAAACTTTTTTAAGTGTTACAGTGATATTTCGTTATATGTTCCATAATGTCAATAATATTGATTTCCTTGCAACATCCATAATTATTACAAATGTCAATATAACGAAATATCTTTTATGCGATGTTTGTGGTGTAATAAAAATCTGTGTTTCGATTACGTTTTTGATACGTATTACTCACTTATATGTAATAATATAGAATAAAAATATACTATTAGTCCGATATTTGAAAATATGCATGCGTTCGTTGTCACTGTTAAACTGTTGTAATAACAATGGAATAATAAAATAATTTACTCAAATGTACATAATAATACATATACATATCCATAAAAACAATATTAAACGCAATAACTTTTTTGTACGCGAAGAAAAACTAATATAGGTCCTTCGGGATTAAACCCAAGACTCCTTTCTAATACGTCTACTTTATAGCGAACGGACGGAAGAGAATCCGTTCACGACCATGGTCCCTTCTTAGATTTAACGTAGTTCACAAATTCACCGTTCTCATAACGTAGAGGGCAGCAGAAAATCCCTGACTTTTTACACTATCGGTATTTCAGAACATGAGACACGAAGTCCCATAAGATGATAGGTCTATCCTATACCTAGTCGGTGGTTATATACACTTCGCTTTCTGGATTGAAATATACGAGTGAAACGCGACACCGTATGTATTCTGTCCTGGGCGACAGAGTAGGGTACGCGCGCGTGTGTGGGAAATACGTGAAGCAAGGGGCGTGGCTTTTGTGCAGATAACGGTGGCGCAGGAAACGAATGTCTACGGTAAAGGGCTCTGCTGACGCGAAATTTTGTGGTTCTGATATATGCTAACGTGGATCAGGAGTTCTTGTCCATGCTAATGTAGCCCAAGGGGACAGCACTTGCCCGGGAACGCCGAAACCCCAGGCGTTAGCACTCAGTCTCATTTCCTCTCTGCTACTACTAGAGTCGGCTGTGGTGTAACCAATTAGTAGTTAGTTCATGGACCTGAAGTTGGTTACATGATCACCAACCTAGAAACAACGCAGTTCATGACGAGATATTGTTCATCTTGTTCGGTGGTAGCGTCAATCTCATTTATCAAGCATTATTGAGTTTGTAGAACATCGTGGAGTGCCGATTCGAGATAGTATTAAATTTGTTATAAATTTATCATTTTAGATAATAGAATCGCCTGAAGGTATACTCGTACGTTATGTTTCTTTGCATAATTATTAATGATAGTTTCTAATATTCTACGTAGATCATACCGACTGCAGACGTATAAACCTTTACATTGCACGTTATTGGCGTTGTATTAATTAATAATACTATTCAGTAATAGCATTATTACTTAAATTAAAATTACTTATAATTTACTTTTAGTTCATGCATGTTTACTATTGTATTTCTTTTATCCATAAGTTTTTTTAGCTATTATGTTTAAGTATTTTCCTCATCTTTTTGCATTAGTTATAATTTTTTAATTTGCAGACAAACAGACGTTTTAGTTATTGGAATAACACATTTTTATTAATATTTTATGTTTCTCTAAAGTGAAATAATTTTGTTTGTTATAATTAGATGTTTTATTAAAAAATTATGTGTGCTTGTAGTGATATGTGTAATTGAACTACTGATCTTCATGTAAAATCATATATTTTATGAAGTAATTTGCAAAAATAGGAGAAATAAAAATTTTGTTCCTATTAGAAAATTTTTAATTAGTTCATAATAAATCAGAAGCTTTTAAACATATTTGCTTTCTTATAAAATGTGCATATAGAAATACAATATATTATATTTCATTGCAGAAATGTCTGAGTCAGATCTTCTAGCTGCAGATCACATTGATGGTCTAGATGGTCTTGAAAATGGTCAAGATGGAGATGCCATTATGCAGTGTGATGGTGTAAAGCGGGAATTAAATGAAGCAAACATTGATGATCCGGTATCTGATTTTTTTCAACTAGATACAAATGTACAATATTACATAAATCATGTATCATTCATTTATCTTTATTATTATTTTATGTATCTTAATTATTATAGGAATTGGAAGCTATTAAAGCTCGTGTCAGAGAAATGGAGGAAGAAGCAGAAAAATTAAAACAGTTACAATCTGAAGTGGATAAACAAATGAACATGGGTAGTCCACCTGGTATAAGTAAGTTATAAACTTTATTAATTTGAATGTGTAAGACAGTATTATATATCTGTATTAATCAGTATTTATTAATTTCTAGCAAGTCCATTAAATATGTCACTTGAAGATAAAAAAGAAGTTGATAATAGATCTATTTATGTTGGTAATGTAAGTTGATATTTTACAATAATGATAATCTTCATTTTTTAAATTCAATCTTACTAATATATTATTTATATAATTATGAAGGTCGACTATGGCGCTACAGCAGAAGAATTAGAGCAACATTTTCATGGTTGTGGTAGTGTTAACCGAGTAACCATACTGTGCAATAAGTTTGACGGGCATCCCAAGGGATTTGCTTATATCGAATTCGCAGAACGTGATTCTGTACAAACAGCTATGGCAATGGATGAGTCTATGTTTAGAGGGAGACAAATTAAAGTAATGCCTAAAAGAACAAACAGACCAGGATTGTCTGTAACAAACAGGTATCTACTCAGTATAAAATAATGTATTTTAAATGTTTATTATTATATATGATATTTCTCACAAGGTAATAAAACTTCTGCATTTTTCAGAGGACCACGAGGAACACGAGGCTACCGAGGTATGGCCAGGGGAATTGTACGTGGCAGTGCATACTTTGGCTATAGACCTACAAGACGACCTAGGTACGTTTGAAACTTTGTTTTTTTTATTTAATTACTTCAAAACGTATCCTATTTTTACGTAGGAGTTACAAACGGGGTTACTACATGCCGTATTGACCGTTTTAAAGGATTTTACTACTATTTTACAAATTAAGGTAAGTTCTTATATCATGACTTACATTACCAGTTATTTTACCTGTTTCTTGTGATTGTTCAAACAAAGCATCCAATACAAAGGTAACCAAAGACTCTTTATACTTACAAGTATTTGTATCTGTTGAACATACGCATCTCTGATAAATTATGAATTATATAATTACACCATGAAGCAAGACCATTGATTTAATGAAGTTATTTTGTTTGAACTATCAAGTTATACATCATAAAGTAATACATCTGTAGGAAAGGCTGGTGAAGCAACTAATGGTTTTAGGTATCATTTTTTTAAAGTTCCTATAAATATTAATGACAAATAAAGCAATAAAAATGACTCATATTTACTAGCCATTCCTGAATGAATGTAACACTATTACTTTCTCATTAGTAATTAATATATGCTTGTTGATTACTATTTTAATATTCTGATGTATCTATCTAATTTAACTTAAAGATGTAAATTTATTACACCAATTATATACAATTAAAACTACTGTAAAGTATCTCAATTTTCTACTGTGAATATTATGGAATTCATATTTAGATACATTGGCTTTATTAGGAATACTATACTGTGCTCTACATGTATATTCAACCTTACCACCTGGTCATATTTTACATATTGATAACAGAACATCAATATTGAACTGTTATTTCGACAAAAAGGCATTACAGTTTGATCACACTTTGCTTTGCAGAAAATTTTAACTACGTAGCATATTCCTTTCATGATATATTTATATTTATAAATTGTGGGTGTTCGAATCCAAACTATAGAGTATGGCCATGTGAACTGTAATACAAGATATTGTAAGTTTTTGTGCATATCTTATTTATAGGTTACACAAAACTTACATATTTATACGAACATGCATTACAGTATAATGCTGCTAAGGTGTTTAAGTAAATTCTTATGATATGTCCACAGAAAAAAAAACTGATACGATGGGAAAAAAAAGAGAAAGAAAAAACCTCATGTCAAAAGAAAAAAAAAGATTGGACAAAGATGGGCACAATTAATCATATTTGATTTAATGAATTATCATAATGAATAATACAAATGTAGATCAGCGATGATTTGCTATTGCAGTTCAATTGTATTTTTACATAACTGAATCGGTTGATATTCAACTGATCCTACAGTATCAGCCTTTATCTGTTTACAAGTACATCAATCCGTTTAGATTACAAAAATACATAAAACATTGGATGTTAATACAATAATGTTTATATATTAAAATTTTCTTAAATCTGTGTATATATACATATATACATGTATATACATACACACATATTATATATATAAATATATATATATATATATATATATATATATATGCGCGCGTGTGTGTAGTGTGTGTATATATATATATGAATATACATGAATGACTCTACAAATACTACATATTGTTTAAAAAAAAAGGTGTAATCATTAAATTGTTATATATTTTGGTAAAAATTACCTTTGTATCTTCAGTTATAACCGAATAAAAAATACATCATTCCTATTGTGCATATCGATATAATTGTAAAATGTTATGGCCCATAATTAATACGTAACCAAACCATTTCTGTATGAACACTTCAAGAACTAAAGTTTTCCTAAAATAAAAGCCTCCAAAACTTCTACCAACTGGCACATGTTGTAATAATAATCCCCACGATTCTGTATGTTTTTGTTATCTATAAAAAATACAATTTATTTAAACTTTAGGAAAATATCATGCAATTAAAATTACGCATTTTATATTATCTGATAAAATTAACACAAAGGTAAAGCAAACTTTTATAACTACGTTAAATTTATTGTGACTGTCAATGGAAATGAAAGTAGGATTAACATATGTTAAGGTAATACAAAATTGTATACATATAAAATTATTTTTGAAGTATATGCAGTCACAGAAGTATATTAGAGCCTCAGAAACTGATTTTAGGAAATTATGACATAGCAATAATGATTTTAGAAATATTTTGATACATATAAAGGCTGATACAATGATAAAACAAAAAAAAATAAGATTTATGCTGTGGTAATCCAGATATTATTGATGTGTATTTTCAACAGATTTTGTAATAAATCTGTTCTATAATTTTAAACGCTGAGTTAAGATTATGTTTCACATATGATCTAACAATGAGAATTGAGCTGCAATGTGAATGTCTAGAGTAATGTCATATTACTATAATATATAGTAAATTTTGTATGCATAGTAAGTGAAAGTTGCTGAAATTATATGTTGTTATAATTTTTCTATAGAATGTCATATGTATTGATATTAATGTGTACAACTTTCATTTATTTCTTACTAACTATACATCCTCAATTTTATCTCAAACACATTGCTACTAATTTGTAAGATGCGTGTAAAATGTTTTTGAACCATTAATCCACTGTGCTATGATGTTAGGGGGAGAGCCAAGTTTCCACATATTAATAATCAAGCTACATTTTGTGACGTTACTTCCATGTCGCTAAGTATTTTGCAGGTGCAGTGCAGCATCAGCATCAATTGAGTGATAATCATACAAATTTCATAAACAATTTTTATGTTCTATTTAGAAAAAAAAACAAAAGAAAAGATGAAAGAATAATTAAGATATAAGTGTAACATATAACTGTAATATGATTGGGTGGTAAATAAAGATTTTCTTGGCTTAAATTTTTTATATGAATTGGCAACTGTCTTAATATGTTCACATCAACACATACTATCATAAGAATAGGAAAAATAAAAGTAATTCAGAAAGATTAATAGCTTGCGTTTATTAAGAAGCAGTGGTATTTAAATTGATTTTTTTACATTTCAGATCAACAGCTTATGTTATCAGAAGGATAAATTTTGTTTGTACAAATTAATGTTTTCATAACAGAGAATGTTATTATATTTATTGATTAAAAAATTTCTTTTCTTTGTATCTCAGAAGGCACATAAATACCCAATTAATCTCTACAGGTTTGGCAATGACTTATTAATGGAAAGTTTGTAAGATATTAGTGTTAACAAAAAAACACTGAAGAAATGAATTCAAAACATTAGATACATAACACAACAAAATAATTATCTTATAGATTTGAGAGTAACTATATAATAATGCAAAGAAATTCTATTTTTGAAGCATACTAATAAGATCCTGGACTAATTTGGGTTTACGAAAATTGACTGGACCAAGGAAGTTAAGAAGTAACATCTGTTTCAGCGCTCTTCAAACTTTACTCGCGAGCAGTGGTGGGTACGTAGAATACGCATGGTATAATAATAATACAAGTATACAGGGTGGCCCACATAACTCTTAACAGCTCAATATCTCGAAACCTATGCCATCGATTTTAAAGTTCTTGGTCTTACATTGCATGAATCTGAAGGGCCTTTCTAACTACATAAACGTGAAGTGGCCACCCCTTCCCCTTTAAGGGGGGGGTGGGGGTACCTTTATAATTTTAAATGGAACCCCCTATAAAACGTTACATATTTAGATTCTACAGGAAAAAACAAGTAAATTTTGTCTGAAACATTTTTTTGTCAGATATTTCCATAATGAGATATAACAGTTTGAAGTTTTTACTTGTAGGTACTTACTTGAAGCGCTCGGAAATTGCATTATTGAATTATACGCGCTTGAGTCCGCTTATTCATGAAGAAATAAAATGTTCTTTAAATTAAATGTTCAAAATGTCCACCACGGGCTGGTAAACATTTATTTACTCGAAACATCAAAGTTGTTCTAACATTTGTTAACATTTCGGGAGTCACTGAAGCGCAAGCGTTACGTATTCTTTGTTTCATATTCTCTTTTGTCGTCGGTGGTTCAAACATAACTTTGTCCTTTACATATCCCCATAAGAAAAAATATAATGGTGTTAGATCGGGCGATTGAGGAGGCCATTGATGAGGTCCCCCACGACCATTTGTTCCCAAATTTTTCATTCAAAAATTGTCTGGTGATGATTGTAAAATGAGGAGGAGAGCTCAAGAATTGTAAATATTGTTGTTTTTGTTTCTTCACGAGTAAGCGAAGGACTCAAGCGCGTATAATTCAATAACGCAATTTCCGAGCGCTTCAAGTAAGTACCTAAAAGTGGAAACTCCAAACTGTTATATTTCATCATGGAAATATCTGACAAAAAAATGTTTCAGACAAAATTTACTTGTTTTTTCCTGTAGAATCTAAATATGTAACGTTTTATAGGGGGTTCCATTTAAAATTATAAAGGTACCCCCACCCCCCCCTTAAAGGGGAAGGGGTGGCCACTTCACGTTTATGTAGTTAGAAAGGCCCTTCAGATTCATGCAATGTAAGACCAAGAACTTTAAAATCGATGGCATAGGTTTCGAGATATTGAGCTGTTAA